CAAGAGTACAGGAAAGCAGAAGATGATAAAGATGGAGAGAAAGGGAGGGAGCCCTTGGCTATAGAGCAAGTATTTACAGTCCAGATCAGTTTTGTTTATTGTTGAATTTTACAAGCACAGTCCTCCAACCATTGCCCCAGCTCATTTACTCAGCTATTCTCTTTACGAGTCAGCGACCACGTTTAACTGTTCTTCCAGAACACACGAAGCAGAAGTGAGAGATGTTTATCTGAGATGTGAATCCTGAAGTGTTGTGAGAATCTGTCATAAAGTCATAAAGTTGACTATTTCCTGGTTTCAGAAACAGTATGTTTTACTTTGTCGGATCTTATATGTGTGTGTGTCTGTGTCTAGATCTCTGTTCATTGTTATCTCATTCCAGATTTCTCAGAAAGACCTTTATGAGTTAGATTTTTCTTTTCAGTCTTTTCTTGAAAAAGATGTATGACCTCATCTTCCTTTTTATTGCCGTAAACAAAGCATACCTATGAGCTTAGTAGGTGACAGGTGGGATGGTGGGAGGAGCATTCTTGTTCAAAATCTCATGTGATTGGACAGAATCTGGGCTGGAAAAGTCATCCGAAGTAATTGAAATGCAGGGGTGTCCAAACTTTTTTTGTATAAAGGGATAAAAAAATATATATATCAATGAGAGCCGTGGACCAAAGATAAATATACCAAAATATTTTAAATTAGTTGCCATAGGCCATTTCCTATTTTATTTCATAATATTTTAAAACAAACAGCAAACTTTTTAAATGAGAACTTAAAATCACATTTATAACAGTGGAGTTCAATGCTGAACACACTTGTCAAATAGAATCTGCTTTTGCCTTGATTTAATCTGTCGGGTGACAGCATGTACCTTTTGAACTAAATCTGATTAACTGACATGATTTAAATTGAAACATTTAATTTTAGTTAGCTTTTTTTTTCTTGACAATAATACAAACAAAAAAAGGTTACATTCAATTTGAAATAACAATCTATAAACCATCCCCATCATTCTCCCTTTCTTGGCGGGCTAAATCAAAAGTTACCATGGGCCAACTTTGGCCTGCAGGCCCTATGGGGTTCTCTGAATAAGTGTAAGTGGTCATAACTGGCATCTATAAAGAAAGACAGAAACTGAAAGTAAACCATAAAACATTTATTTATTTATTTATTTTTAATTTATTTATTAAATTGTATTTTTTACATTTTAAATCACATTTGAATGTACTTAAATACTTTGAGGACTTTACTTTGGTGCATAATGTTTCCTGCAAGATCAGATACTTAAATGAGTGAACAGCATTCATTTTAGTTATTTATTTATAGTTATTTAATCCCAAAATGTGTGCAGAAGCTGTTTTGGCCTGCAGCGAGTATGCGACCACCTAGCAACCATATCAGCGTATTAAAATACACTTGCCTAGCAAATTGGCAGTGATTTTTGCACAAGCAAGCACATGTTGTTATGCAAATTTAGGTAATCTTAAATGTTTTGGTCACACTTTATTTTGATGGTCCGATTGTTGAATTTAAGTTACATTGCATCTACATGCCAACTAATTCTTATGAGATTATAAGTAGAATGTTAGGCTGGGTTTAGGGTTAGTGTAAGTTGACATGCACTTGCAAAGTTTCTTATAGTCAGTTAAATGTCTGTTGAAGGAGCATATCAACAGATATTAAGCAGACAGTCTATTAATACTTAAAAAAATTTTTCTGACTCTCTGAGGAATGTTTGATTTTTATTAGTATATTAAGAGTGCAAAATATACTCTAGTAAAAACGTATATATAATAAATAGAATACATAAACAATAGGCCTGTGCAATTTGGGGAGAAATATCTAATTGCTATTTTTATTTGTATTTTTTGACAGATATTGCAATTTCTATTTGATTTGCGCTTTAATTTTGTAATCAAGCTTCAGCTCAAGAATCTGTATCGGTAGCTTCTTACTGCTAAGATGCAGTGAGTGTTAGTTTAAAAAAGAAACTGAAACGATTTTAACTTACTTTAACGTTTATTCAAATTTGTTTTTAAAAATTCAGAAATGAAACACTATTTTTTCTCTAGAGCATACAGTAAACACAAATAAAATGACCTTAGCTTTCGGTTAACAAGTTGAACTCAAAATAGAGAGATAGTGTAGCTTATACAAACAAAAAATAATAATAATGATAAAAATACAGGACACCCAGCAAACTAAAATGGCTGAAATAACTCTCAAATTGTACTTTACTGTGTCACTGGCAATACTTTCAGTTGACTTTTTAGCAAGACACTCATTACTCAATTGTCCTCACACAATTGGCTAGTAAGACTATCACACACTGACGGCAGTCACGCATTTGCTCTGGGGAGGGGACTCTTAACTTTCAAAATAAACCCTGATGTACAGCATTGAATGTGTGTGTGTGTCTTGTTATTACAATAATATGTAGTCCAAATCTAATAAGCCTTTCTGTACGACTTGCACAAATATAGCAAATACATTCTTTATAAGCTAGCAACAACTAGCTGCAATGGCTGCTTGAGGGTTGTAGCTTTAGACTTGATGTATAGTTTGTTAATATTACTTGTGTTCTATTGGATGTAATTTATTCGTAAACACTGTAATGTACAAAAACAGTGCCCCAGTGTGTCCAAGTCTGATGCTTTAAATAATACAAATATATTTCAAGTCACAACCTCTTGCGATTTAGCCAATCGAAATGTTTCAAAACTTGATTGTAATTTGATTGCGATTAGTGGCACAGCCCTAATAAACAACAATAGAACAGGAATGGGAATAATGCTTATGTTTTTACAGTGGTTATTAGGCATGGTATAAGGTATAAGATTCTGGCGGTATGACAACCTTGGATAAACATATTGCGGTTTCTCCGTATTGTGATAGCTGCTTTTAAAATATCATCTTTTGAAATGTTTGGGTAAAAAACAAAAACTTTTTTCCCCCTTTGAACACAATATATTTTATTTTGAAAAACATTTGAAGAATTTTGGAGCAGTAAACATGAAAGCCTGAATAATTTAAACTAAACATTGATTTCTGCTGTTTTTTCATCAACACACAGATTTCTTTACAGTTTAAAACGGCATTTTTGGATATTGTTTCAGCGTGAAATACTGTTGTCCTAAAGAACTAAAAAAAACATTAGCCCATACCTTAGGAATGGTATAGCAGAAAATGTTGGTGGTTTTAAAACCTTAACTTTTCCAAACCACAGTTTACCTTGTGTAATTTACAGATGTAAATTTGCTGATATTCAACAATACACGATAAACGTGCACAGTAATGTCGAAGTTGTGGGTTCTTTAAAATACTGTGAACACCCATTTAATATTTAAACTTAGAATACATATTAGGAACTTTTGGAACAATCATATTCAGGTTGTTTTATTTGCAGTGTTATTCATCACAACTGCACCTCAAACTAACTTTTTAAAATAACACAATGTAAAAAAATGCAATCGCTTTCTGTTGGGATAACATGAATTAAGTTAATGTATACGTTAACAAATTTAAGTGTATCGAACATGAAACAATGAACTTGTCCCCAAATAACTCAAGATTTGTGTTGTTTCGATTGATTTTAAATAAGCAGTTTGAACAGACACCATAAGTCATTTTTTGAGTGTGATCTGGCCTATGATATGATATGCCCGTGACGCTGATTAAAATGATCAGATATTTTATAGGCCTATTGTTTGATAACACCTTACAAAAAGGCTCCAGTTGTTAACGTTATAACAACCTAAACTTATGACTAAACCTACTTGGTAAACATTTATCAATCTTGGGTAATATTAATGTGTTAGTTAATGTTTAATGGCTCATTACAATCAAAAGGCAGACTTGCTTTGTAATTTAGCTAAAACTGATGAAGTTGGTTTGTATTTTTGTTTATGAAGATTATAATTTCTGTAACAAATTGACCCCATTCACATTATTACACTAACTGACATTTACCAGTGATACCTTATTGTAAAGGTCTAGTTTTTGCTCTTTATAATCTTTTCGTTGTGTAGTTAGTTTGAAACATTTGTTTAAATCAAATCACTTTTATTGTCACATCATCAGCAGCATGTGTACTATGATGAGTAGAAAGCTTAAGTTGGGCTCCACAGTGCAAAATACAAAATACAACAACATACTGTACTCCCAGAAAACAAAACGGAATACAATTGGCAATGTTGACAGTAGAATGCTGAAGACAATAAATAGGTGTACACATTAGGCATGGGATGATAACCGTTTTCCAGGTATACCGCGGTTTGGAAAAGTCAAGGTTTTAAAACTGTCAAAATTTTCTGTAATACCATTCCTAAGGTATGTGTAAGATTTTTTATTTACTTTTTTGTTTGTTTTTTTAGTACAACAGTATCTCCAGCAGAAAACATATCCAAAGATGCCGTTTTAAATTGTAAAGAAATCTGGGTTTTTCAAACAAATGAAGAGAGCAGAAGTCAATGATTCATTTTTATTATTGAGCTTGACATGTTTACTGCTCTAAAATTAAAAATATATAAAAAAAATATTTTCTCAAATTAAAATATATTATGTACAGAGGAGAAAAAAAAGTTTTTTTTACCCAGATATTAAAAAAAAATATATATATATATTTTAGAGCAGTACTCAAAAAACCATAAAACCAGGATATTTTGATCTAAGGTTATCATACCGTTGCAATCTTATACCGGCCCCTACCTAGTACACAGTTTGACTGTCAATGGGAAATTATTGTATGCAATATTGTTTGAAGTAAGGTAGATACATAAAGAAGATACATACAGTTTACTCTAAACATTTATTTATTTATTTACTTTTTTATTTACTTAATTACTTATTTAAATTGTATAATTAAACTCCATATTGTCATAACCATGGATGTCTCAGTAGGATTTCTTAGTAAATTCTGTTTTTTTGTTTGTGTTTTTGAATGACATTGTAATGTTTATTATTTGCACTCATCATCTCTTTGATCTGTCTTTTTGCGTATCTTCTAGGAAGCGGAAATCCTGGACATGAGTCATATCAGGGACACCAGGACAGGGAAGTTTGCTAAGACGCCAAAGGTAAGTTTTACAGTATGTATGCCTAAGTTGGAAAGTGTCAGTATGAAGCTTACGTTTAGAAAGGCTCATATGGCAAGATGGGGGTGGTAAAGTTTGTTTGTGTTTTTAGGACCAACGTATTCGTGAAATGTTGTTTTCGGGCAAAGCAGATGGGAACTCTGACTCAAGGCTGCTAACGGTCGTCTACGGCAACGACCTGGTCAACATCTCTTTCCTCAACTTCCAAGCTGTGCAGGATGGCTATTGCAAGGTAACCACGACAACCAGTCCTTGTCACCAGGAGACCATGTCCCTGCTATTACTCCCTCTTGCTCCGTCCTGCTTTTCTGCATGCTACTGTAGCTTTAAGTGTACATTTTTGTTTGTATTTTCTAATTCAGAAATGCTCAAACCATCAGGCCAAAATTGGCCCATGGTAACATTTGATTTAGCCCGCCATCCCATCTGACAGTGGTTTAGAGATTGTCATTTGTGATTGAATGTACCCTTTTATCTGTTTGTTTTATTGTTTAGCTACAAAAATAAATTTAATTTAATCTGAAATTAAATGTTTCTATATAAATGGTGTAAATGAATAAGATATAGTTTCAAATGTACATACGACAGATCAAGGACAATGCAGAGACTTTGGTGGGCAAATCAAGGCAAAGGCAGAATCTGCTTGACTAGTATATTCAGCATACAACAACTCCACTGTGTTATAAATATGATTGTTTATGTTTTTATTGGAACAAGTTATAATTTAAAAAGTTATACTGCATTAGTTAATACAATTCAAAGTAAACTTTTATATTTATTATGAAAAAATATTTTGACTCAGGAAATTTCCTATGGCAACTTTAATGTCTAATAGTTTGGTATATTTTTCTACGGCTCACAGAACTCAATGATATTTGGTTTTTGGTCCTTCATACGAAAAGGTTTGGGCACTTCTGATCAAATTATCATAGACATTGTTTTATGTTAAACCTCAAAAGCTTGGCACTCATGAAGCACGATTTATTTCTATGATTTACTAAATAAATGCCTTAATTCATTTAAGAAGGTTTGATTTTTTTGTGATTTGGGTTTCCAGTTGTGGACGGATGAACTGTTTAAACTTGCCACAAATATGCTGTCCCAGAATGCTTCCCGCAACACCTTCTTACTCAAAGCGTGAGTTTTCTGTTTGTCTAAAAGCATTGTGTGATGCCAAGTGACATGTTAGTGGAGCAAACATACGAAAAGCTTTCACTGAGCTTTAAATATACAGGTATATATAATGTACTGTACATCTCACTATGCAACTTTATCACTCAAAATTGTGACTTTTGTATCTCATATTGCAACATTATACAGTAACTCTCAGTTGCTACTTCTTATCTCTGTAACTTATTATTGCAGGTTTAATCCTTAAATTACAACTTATAGCTAAAATTGACACATTTGTAACATAATTGCAGCTTTAATTCTGAAAAATGCACTTTAATATGTTACTACGGGATCTTTATATCTCACTGTCTGATCTAAGTCCAACTAGACCTGACAAAAGTTCAAGCCAGGTTTCCATGTTTAACTTTAGCTTTGCCTCAGAGTTGGTTTTGTAATTGAAGGTCACACATGGTCTTAAAAGTTTAGCTCAGTCAAACATTGAAAGTTCTACTACTCATAATGAGGAAAAAAAAAGTTATACAGGTTTGGAAAGTAAATGGCACAAATTTTCAGTTTTGGGTGAGCTTTAATATACAAGCACGATTTGGGTTTGTTCACTCCAGAATAAAAAAAATAAAACTATTATTTGCTTTGCTGTCTTGTCTGAGGCAGTGCTGGTAGTGCAGGATGATTGTTGATGATTGCTGGTAATTTTACAAAGTACATTAGATTTTCTTTTTGCAGAAGTACAAATAATAACTGTAAGCTAATGATGAGTGATAGTAGTTTGTCTCTCAGTCTTTTTTTTTTTTTTTTTTTGTAATAGTTACACAAAGCTAAAGTTGCAGGTAACTCAGGATGGGAAAATCCCAGTAAAGAAGTGAGTAAATACAAGCTTTCTTACTCAAACACAGTTAAGTTCTAGTTCTTCAGGCTTTTGTTGCTAATCTACCACTTCTTCTTTTGTTATCCCTTTCACTTCTTCTCTTTTTCTTTCTCTTTCACTTCTGTTAGCATCCTAAAAATGTTCTCGGATAAGAAACGTGTGGAGATGGCGCTGGAGCACTGCGGTCTTATCTTTAACAGGGTAATCAATCATGCACCGATCATCTCTATTACATGTTAAACCCTTTATTGTCAGTCTGCTGAGCTTTTATAGTCTCTTTCTTGTTTGTTAATTCATTGTTTTCGAAGTAGTGTTTTTTTTTCCCCCAAAATGATGCACACTTGCTAAGTAAGTTTTATCGTCATTTAAAACTAATCACGTCTTTTACACTTTATGGTGATCTATGCTTAGTCCTTTTATGGCTTAGTTTGGACACAGAAGCTGATCTTAAATGTGTCTACATATTTCTTGTCTTGCACTGCCCTCTGCAGGGTGAACTTAAAAATGAACTGAATCAGGTAGAGAACCCAGGGTAAACACCAGGGGTCGCACAACTGACATGTCTAGTTAATGACCGACTGTTTTAACAACCCCAGAAGCATAGTGCACAATATATAACAAAATGTTTACTTGCATTAGCCAACCGATGCAGTGCGTCTGATTTTATTTATTTATTTTTTGCTGTATTTCCTATATTTAGAAAAAAATGTATTTGTATTTATTATGCAGAAAATAACTTTACAAAGACACAATATGAACAAAGAGAAGTATTTATGAATGTAAAACTTCACCAATCAATAATCAATAGGTGTATCCCATCTATTTTTTATTTTATTTTTTTTATTAATGTAAGGAGCACGTTAGATTAACATAAAGTTCAAAATGGTTTATGCAGCTATGGCTCAGTGTTGTAGAACCAGTTTTACATCTTGTATTGTGAACATTGTGTGCTTACACAATCTTTAAAGATAATTTGCGTTTTAAAGTAATATTCTCAAAGGGGGTGTTAGACAAAAAAGCTTTTAGGTATGCTGTCACTAAAGGTGCTTTTGTGGAAGGAAGTGACTTTGAACTTAACCTCTTCATTTTATCTGTCTCTTTATCTGTATATCTGTCGATTTATCATACATCCATCCAGGTGGACGGTATAAAACCAGATGACTTCACCTGGGAAATGTTCCAGAACTTTTTAAACAAACTAAGTCCCAGACCAGAGGTGGAGCGAATTTTTGTAGATCTGTGAGTGAACAGGATTTAACAGTAGTGATATAAATATTGTATGCCAAAAAACGTAATTTTGACAGTTTAATTCACGTTTAAACATGTTTAAATACAAAATTTCTTCATTATTTTGTTTTATTGAGTGTGTCCAAATACTTATTTGTAGCAGTTAATGTGTTTAGAACTGATGTTTGAAATTATGCATTACACAGTGTTTCTAATGGGCAATTCTCTACAATTCTGTGTGTAGAGGGTCTAAAGGGAAGCCCTTCTTGTCCTTGGATCAGTTGATGGACTTCATAAATCGCAAACAGAGGGATTCACGACTAAATGAGGTTCTTTACCCTCCACTCAAACGAGATCAGGTCCGCCAGCTCATGGAGAAATATGAGACCAACACCAGCCAGCTGGAGAGAGGTATGAGTGCACACTCACAGACATTGGTCATACGTAGGCCTATATGGAATCTGTGCGTGCAGAAATCCGCAGATTTCCACAGATTCTTAGCCCATTGTTAAGTCTATGTATTTACTTGTGTAAATGTGTGTAAATGTATTTGTATTAAGTTTTTTTTATTTAATTTGACTAATATTATTGTAATATCATAATAGGAATGGTAAAATGTTCATATGATTTATTCATAATACAGTTTGTGAAGTAATATTTTCTAGTAGATTTAGTAGATATATTAAATGAGACTTGCTTTGTTTACCAAAGAACTGTATGTAATTGGATTTGCATTAGATACATTATTTTTCTTTCCAATATTAAGTTTTTGGTTATGATACTACTAAAATCATTCTGCATAAATCTGCAGATTTTTATTTTTTTTTTACAAAATTCTCATCAAAAATAGTAAAAAAAAAAATGTTTGCAGATTCTGTCTGGTCCTAGTCATATGGTAAAGATGAGTCTGATTGCAATTTGATTTACATGTCTATGTGTGAGCAGATCAGATCTCCCTGATGAGCTTCACAAAGTATCTTGGCGGAGAGGAAAACACTGTGGTTCCCCCTGAGAGGCTGGACATTATCGATGATATGAACCAGCCGCTGTCCCACTATTTCATCAACTCATCACACAACACATACCTTACGGGTACACAAACACACATTCTATTAGACAGGAACAAAGTAATGTGCATATCTTGAACTGTGTCTTTCTAACTTCAGTGGGGCAGCTGACAGGCCTGTCTTCAGTTGAGATGTACAGACAGGTGTTGCTGACAGGATGCCGCTGTATAGAGCTGGATTGTTGGAAGGGCCGCCCACCTGAAGAAGAGCCAATCATCACTCATGGTTTCACCATGACAACTGAGATCCCATTCAAGGTTTGTGTATGGCCTTATCTCAGAGTCTGTGACTTCATCATATTTCACCCCCTGTCTGAACTGCAAAGAGAAATGGTGTCTATAAGGTTTTGTTGTTTGCCCTTTCAGGATGTGATTGAAGCCATTGCTGAAAGTGCTTTCAAGACGTCACCTTACCCTCTCATCCTGTCCTTTGAGAACCACGTGGACTCGTAAGTGCAAAGTTTGATTATGTGGTTAATGCGTGTTGTTTTGCCATTGTGTATATCTTACCTTGGTTGTTGTTTTCTTTTAGAGCAAAGCAGCAGGCTAAAATGGCTGAATATTGTCGCTCAATGTTTGGGGATGCGCTGCTCATTGACCCACTGGACAAATATCCGGTGGGTTGTTCATCACCATAAAACCAAATTTATCAAACTTTAGTTGTCAGAAGTTTAAGACAATCTATCAATGTAAGTATGTAAGGAGCATGATGTCCAATGAACTTGATAGTTTGCGCAAAAATATAAAATGACAGATTGATCATAACCCAGAGTAAGTAATAATTGAAAATGACAGATTGATTTGGCCTTTATCATTGAGAGATCATGTTGTTTTTCAGCTGGTTCCTGGTCAACAACTCCCAAGCCCCCAGGAGCTGTTGGGGAAGATCTTGATCAAGAACAAGAAGAAACATCACCACAGGGCCTCTAACGGTGGGAGCATCCGACGCAAGGATGGGACAGATGAACAGTCTTCACCTTTGAATGGTGTGTGTACACATGCAAGCATACCAAAATATAACCTAATCTGCTCCAGCACAGAAGTGACTGTGATTTCAATGATCACAAAATGCATCAAAACAAATGTGATGATTATTTAAATGTTTATAGCAACTTGAGAACACGCATCATACTGTGTATCTATATATGATTTGGATGTGTGCATATAGAAATTAAGTTTGCACATTGAGGTACTAGCCAAGACATGAGCACAATGGTCAAACACTTTAGTTGAGCGTGTTTACAAGGAAAAATGAAAAAAACGGTAACTGTAATCTGTGTGAATGGCTTGTTAGAATGCACATCAGTGTTTCCTACATCAGCAGATCATGTTGTGTGTTGTTGGACAGGGCAACCTGTGATGTCCAATTAGTGTATTAGGCCCTCAAGAGCCAATTCCTATAATGAATCAAGCTTCTGATGCTGATGTGATTTTTATTCTAACAGCATTCTCACTCACTGAACAGTGAACAATTCCGTCACAGTTAACTGCCTTGTGTGTTTTTAACTACCTTTCCGCTTCTGCTCTTTTGTGATGAAGCATTTTTAAATCATGAATTATTCTTGTGGGCCATTTTATTCTGCATCTCCCTCAAATGGACACGATTATGCAGTTATTTCATAAACACATCATTTACATGTACTCAACCTCATGTAATTCCAAACCAGTGTGATTCAAATCCAAATGTATTGAGCTCTTTTTGGGGTAAATGAGAATATAAATGTATACATCGTCCTTTTTTTTTCATTTTCCCATTTCATTTTCCATTAAAACCCATTCATTATGAGATTTGTGTTTAGATTGTCCATTGTCTGATGGGGATGTGGGCCAGCTCATGTCCAATGGGGGTGAGAAGCTTGCAGAGAGGATGGCCAAAGACCATGATAACAGCAAATCTATTGGTGGGTTTGTGCCTAGATGACATGAGGTCTCAGCCTTCAGGATGGAGAATGGTGTCAATTAGGCACTAGTATGGCAGTTCACAGATAATGTATTTATAGTGTGTTTAAAACCTTTGTGTCTTTGTGTGTGTGTGTATTATGTTTTAATATTGCTTTATAGATCGGGGAGATGGTGAGAGTGATGAGGAGGAGGAAGAGGAACCCATTCCAGATCCAAAGAAACACAACAACACTGATGAGGTAGATTTTGTTCCACTCTACGGTTCCCTTTTCTACTCTATCCTCATTCTGTGCGTGTTTTTGACCCATCTCTCTTTTTCAGGGTACTGCATATAGTGAGGTGAATGCCACAGAGGAGATGTCCACATTGGTCAACTACATAGAACCAGTCAAATTCAAGTCTTTTGAGGTGGCAGCCAGTGAGTAATGATGCTTTTAACATCATTTTTATAACTCAGTGTGTCCGCTCTTAAGTCGGCTTTTAAGTCAATCTTAAAATGTCTTAAATTACAAAAAAATAAATAATAATTTATGTCTCAAAAAGTCTTAAACCAGTGGTTACCAACCTTTTTTTGCCTGAGACCTCCTTTTTCTCCGTTGAGGGAATAATCAGTAAACAGTATTTTTAATACTATATCTAGATATTTATTCATTCATTCAATTTCTTTTAGGCTTAAACGCTTGACCAATCTGGCGTCGATACAGCGGAATGCACCACCAACTTATTCAGCATGTTTTATTTAATGGGTTGTGACTTATTCCAGCCACAACCCATCTCTGGGAAACATCCACACACTCGTTCACACTCATACACTACAAACAATTTAGCTTACCCCATTCACCTGTACAGCATGTCTTTGGACTGTGAAAACCAGAGCACCCGGAGGAAACCCTTGCGAACGCAGGGAGAACATGCAAACTCTACACAGAAACGCCAACTGACCCAGCTAAGGCTCGAACCAGTGACCTTCTTACTGTGAGGCGACAGCCATACCTACTGCGCCACTGCATCGCCCTATATCTAAATATCTTTATAAACAAAAAAATAGCCTAATATTTCCCAGAGATGGGTTGCAGCTGGAAGTGCATCTGCTGCGTGAAACTTGCTGGATAAGTTGGCAGTTCATTCCGCTGTGGCAACCCTGGATTAATAAAGAAACTATGCCGAAAAGAAAATGAATGAATGGATAATAACCTAATGTAAAATATAAAGCAAAACATCAGTAAGCCATTTGTAACTGAAAAACATAAGCCTTTGGCCTTTAAATTGACCCTATTTTAAATTTATTAACAAAAATATCAGTATTCACACTGGTTTATATGGGAAAAAAAGATTATACGCTATTACTATTGCTACTTGCATGTTATTTGTTATGCTCTATCAATTAGTGTGAGGATTGCTGCGAGGCGAATTAGTGAGACTCTATCTTTTTTGTGGAGAACAGATTACAAAATTGTTCATTTTTGGTCAGCTAGGGCAGTGGTCCCCAACCTTTTTATCTCCACACACCGGTCAATGCTTGACAATTTTACTGCAGGAGGTTGGGGGTGTTTTGTTGGTTGCTATGCGACCATCAACCGTTTCCTCATAGGATAACAAACTGACAAAACATTGCTGTCACTCTCTGATACAAGTTTTATTTATGAAGAAAAGTAAAAAGGACTGCTGTGTTTGTGTGTTCTGTGTTTGTCTGAGAAAATGAGTTTTACCGAAATGTGAATATTCCATACAAGCTGAAGCTGATCGGTCAATCCTTGTCAGTTGAAGCGCGGTGCGCTTGCAGCTCGGGGTTCATTTGTGCGAGTGCGTCACGCCGCTCGTAGACGCAAGCTGCTCACCTCCATTGGAAACAACAAACTTGTGCAAACTCTAGAAATACGCAATATGCGAGTGCCCCCTAAAAGGCCACCGTCATTTGCAATCTCCATCAGTTGATCATCTTGATCTACACAGCCATGGTTGATTCACCTGATTTGTTGACAAATGGGTGGCGGATCTATTTCTTGGCAGTTCGTGGGTCCTTTACTGGGCCTTTTCCCTTAGCAAAGAAACATTCTAAAGACGTCTGTTTCTTACTTATTTTGCTGCTTGTGGGTCAAATTTTGCCTTGATGTAACCAATAGAATACAGTCATTTTTCAAATTGAAAGAATTTTCAAAATAAAAGATCATTCAGACTCGGATAATAAATAAAATGGAAATAATAAATGATTTCTTGTGTGGCCCGGTACTAATTGATCCACGGACCGGTGGTTAAGGACCACTGAGCTAGGGGATAAAATGGACTAAGGCAACATGATCATTCTCCTAACTGTCCACTGCTAAGATTTTTTAACAACCCCCTTGTTGGGAACCACTATCTTAAACTACAAAAAGGAAAGTTTTAGGCCTTAAAAAGTCTTAAATTCACTAAAATATTGTGTTGTAGCTCTTAGGTCTTCATTTTGCTTTGTACAAGTAAAGCTACTCAATCGGGCCAGCATCCATTCAGTCACCAACAATAAATAAACCCTTATTTTCTTTCTTTTTTTTTCATTGCAAGGAGATATAATTCACAATAGCTATTAGACATAGTAGCAAATTCCTCATAAAACAAAACAAAAACTAATATCATTTCTCATGATAAAAAAAAAAAAACTTGATTTGGTCTAAAATTTCGTTTTTAATGGCCTTAAAATTGTCTTAAAAAATCTAAAATTTGACTGGATGAAAACTGGAAAATCCCTGATAACTACGCTTTGTATTCTAATTCAGCTGTATTGCTAAAGCTGGGTCAAAATTGTCCATTTTATGTAATGGTTGGAACACATATGAGATGTTATGTACAGGAATGTCTTTCCCACCATTAAGCATATTTAATTACAAACCTAGACAAGATTTTTAAGATGTTATGGTTTTATGCCCACTTGATTTTTTTTAAAATGTATCCCCATGAAGAGTTTTAGGCTATGTATCAAACATTTTAACTAAAACATCATATCTAATAATTTTAATGTACATTTTTGTAGATTTTGAATAAACTCTTAATGAAATATGAAGTTGTTATTGAAGTTTTTATTACGTAATGCTTTTATGTTGATCTTGCCAGGAAATAGCCGTAAGTTGCTGATGTGACAACAAATAAGTAAACAAACAAACATACAGGAATGCTGAATTTAACGTTGATCTCTCTCTCTTATTTTAGAGAGGAAAAAGTTCTTTGAGATGTCATCTTTTGTGGAGACCAAAGGCATGGACACATTGAAAAATTCTCCCACCGAGTTTGTTGAGTATCCTTCATCTGCCACTGTCAGTAGTAGATAATGATATACTGTATGACTCAGTCCAGAATTGTGGGTACATTTTGAGCAATTTCCTTGATAATATAACAAATGTAAACTGATTCGTTATGGAAAATAAGCCCACATTTTTAAATGTGATTGGGAGCATTTGCTTCTGTTATTAATTGTTGTTTAAATGATTATAAAACTTTATATGCCAATAACAGAGTAGACATTTTCCACCCTTTTGTGTTTAGCTCAAAATGCTAACCTCAACCAAACAAATGTGCATTTTTATCTTATTGTTTTTAATAAGTGAATGAAAAATTCTCCACGAGTTGCATGTTCTCCTCCTTTTAGTGTGGGTTTTCACCGGTGCTCCGTTTTTTATTTTGACATGCGGCATAGGTAAATTGAATAAGTGTGCATGTAAGATTGTATGGGTGTTTCACATTACTGAGTTGCAGCTAGAAGGGCATCTGCTGGATAAAAAATATGCTGGATAAGTTGGTGTTTCATTCTGCTGTGGCGACCCTTGATGAATAAAGGGACTAAGCCAAAGGAAAATTAATAATAAATGAATGAAGGAATGAGAAATTCACAATAACAGAGACAAATAATTAATCTATTATTGGTGTATCCTAAATATTTTGTACAAATGGAATAGAGAAGAATAAACAACATGCCTTAGTGCCTTGCAGAGTGTCTTACCAGAGGAAGTGAAATCACTTGGAGCAAGTCTTTTAGTCAGTGCTTTAAAAATTTTCATGCCCTTCTATAACTGATGTAAAACAGTCGACCAGATCTTCGGTAGAGACACAAGTAGTATGCATTTATAACTGAAATGATAAATAATACAGAAATAGACATTTTTTGGAAATGTTTATTTAAATAAGTACACACAAAAAATGAAAGGCTTATTTTATGCAGCTGAATGTAAGATTCAGGAGGCAGAGACAATAAAAAATGTAGCTTATATTTCCAAGACAAAATGTAATGAAATATTTTTGTAGAGATACAGTAAATGGATATCCTTAGTGATGTTGTTCAAAATGATTTCATTTAATGTTTTGTGTTTGATAGAATAAGGGGCGGTTTATCTTAGTGATGCAAAATGTATTCGGAATTCTAAAATCACCCATACGCAGAGTCCCAATTCGCCAACATGCCATGTACTAAAAAAATAGAATTTAAATACTTAATGTACTGTACTTTACATAAACTGCATGTTTTGGGAAATTTTAAAACATCTTATAAGGTTCTTATTTGAATGTATTCTTTAATGCATGTAGTAGAACATGTGCAACTAAAAACAGGATTGCCTTTTTTGGGTGATTGTTTAATTGTTATAAATCTGTAAATATTTAGTTGTTCTTGCCATTTTGTATTTTTTATGCTTTTTTACTTGTATTTGGAGTGCTGATCTGGGGTGCGATTCCAAACAATGACGTAACTCGCGGCTGAACTATCATAGTACGATGCATCGTTTGGGAAAATGATGTAGTGACGAGTTTTTCCCAAAAACCCTTAGTTTCTCTGTCAATCAATCATTTGAACCACATTAGTTACAATGTAAAACGCCCTTAATGATGCTCTAAATGGGGTGGAATAACTACTTCTTTAGAAAAGAACCCTTCTTTTTGCAAATTATATTTTTTTACATGCATTAAAAAAATAATAATTCAATATTAGTATTGGTAAAAACAAACATTCGTTTTCCATATTATTGAAATATATGTAAATGGCAGTTATAGAGCCTATGTTTCCTTTTAAAATATTATTGAGAACATTACATATTTTATTCTGAAACATAAAGAGCTCTTTTATGACTGTCCATGCGCAGTGCACAAAACGCAGGGTGCAAACGCTTTCAGGGCGTGTCAAAATACATTTTTGCTAATTTAAGGATGGGAAAATCCACTTTGCGCCGTGGCGCATAGTCTAAAAGGGTTGAGTTTATTTTCCTAATGAGTTATAGGTGTGTTTTGAGAATAAACCAATTAGAGTCTCATCTCCCATTCCCTTTAAGAGCCAGCTTTGTCACGCCATAAGCGCATTCGCTATTTAGAGGATGCAAAGTAAGTCTAAGTGGAAAAAATGAGCATTTCACTAGGAAACAGTTAACAGTTAGAGTTTTTTTTTTAACAGAAAACTGTTAAACAGAGCATCTACTACGTGAGAATGAGAGATAATGGATCTACTTTCACTTTCGCTCTTGGATAGGGAAAGACATCAATTAGTCTATAAAAAATTCATTGCGTTTGTTTAGCGCAAATATTCATTTCAAAACTATTTCTAAATTCAGTTCTAATTTCCAGCAAACGAATAAATGAATAACATTAATGAAGTGTGCTCAAAATACTGAGTTATATCCTAAAACACATGCTGTGCCCCATATGGTCTAAAACCAGACAGGTGGGCAAATCTAAGCTTGTTTTTAATAAAACAAACATAAATATGGATATATTAAATAATACTGCTAATAATAATAACATTATACAAAAGCAAACTGTTATGAATGAACGGAAAAAGCCTCCCGAGATGAAGAAGACATAAAAGCAGTGATTTTTCATATTTTTGTAGACTAGAAAATAATGTTTTGTTATATTTTAATCATTTATATTTATATCCTACATCTATTCTTATTATATCCTATATATATCCTTAATATTTAATTTTTTTCATATGTAAAGATATTTGCCTGTTGCTCTCTTGTGCGTATTAAGCAGTGCGTAAGCGAGGCGCAACTCTGCGCCGGAGTTTATGCCGGGTTTGTTTTGGTCTAATAAAAAATCTGTTATAGTTTCTCAAAATAACAACGCGCCAGCAGTGCGCCTCAAAACGGCTTCCCTTTTAGACCAGAACGCCTATGGTGCACAAATGAGCGCTAATGCATTTGCTATTTAAACAGCGTATACAGCAGATACTTAATAAATAATCTACTATAATTGAAAAGCATTAACGTATGCTATGTTTTTTGTTTTCACAAGTTTTGGAGATGTAAAGTAAATTCCGCTAATAATAGATCAGCTATAGCTTTTGTCATGAGTCACGGCTGTGTTCAAAATTACATCAATGTTTTTAAAGTGTTCTGTGAAGGAAATACAATTGTAAACATAAAGATTGCTAAAACTGAACTGTAAAAATATGTTGAAAGCGAATTACACCTAATGGAGATGAACTTAATGCTTTTTTTAAAAAAATAAATCCAAATTTAATTGTTAGAATGTTCTAAACGAATAGGACATAGGGAGGATAACTGGGAATAGAACAAAGCCAGGTGCTATGTTTCTAACTACAGTACAGCTCTAGTTTGCGAATGTTAGTTGGAATGATGGATTTGGGAAATGCCAAATCAACGAACTATGTTTGTAATGACGGATCATGCAACCTTAGTTGGCTAACGATTGTTTTTGGAAACCCACTCCTGAATGTTTGATGTGTGTGCTTGCTGTGTCATGTTCAAGCAATGTTGTTCTTCCTAAGCAAAATGTTTGTATTTAGATATAATAAAAAGCAAATGAGTCGCATTTACCCCAAAGGGACTCGTGTGGACTCCAGCAACTATATGCCACAGCTTTTCTGGAACGTGGGCTGCCAGATGGTGGCACTAAACTTCCAAACCCTTGGTGAGACATGAACATAGCTGTTTTGTTCTTCATGGTTTGTCTTTAGCTGTTGTGCTTCATTTTTGCATAAGAATTCCTTAAAGTAGCTTTTACTCTGTTTCTCAGACCTGGCGATGCAGCTGAACATGGGGGTGTTTGAATACAATGGCCGCTGTGGCTATCTGCTGAAACCGGAGTTCATGAGACGCACTGACAAACACTTTGACCCCTTTACTACAGACATTGTGGATGGCATTGTAGCCAATACAGTTAAAGTCAAGGTATATTATTATTATTATTTATATTATTATTATTATTATTATTATTATTATTATTATAATTATATTTACTGTTTCAAACAACAGATGATGTGCGTTATTCTGCATTTTATATTTTCACATGTAAAATGTACAGTTTGATGACATCTAATTCCTTCACATACACAGATCATCTCAGGCCAGTTTCTAAATGATAAGAAGGTTGGTGTTTATGTGGAGGTGGACATGTTTGGGCTTCCTGCAGACACTAAAAGGAAATATCGAACAAAAACTTCAAACAACAACTCTCTGGACCCAGTCTGGGATGATGAAACCTTTGTGTTCAATAAGGTTTGAAACTAAAGTAATATTTTACCCAAAATTTGCAATTCTGTCATGCACAAGCTTATGTGTATTCTTATGTAAAATGAATTGCATTTTGAAAAAGTATGTAATTCATTTCATTCTCTGTCTAGGTGGTGTTACCTACGCTAGCATCTCTGAGAGTGGCGGTATATGAAGAAAACGGAAAGTTTATTGGTCATCGTATCTTGCCAGTGTCAGCGTTGCGCCCAGGTGCCTATACATGGCAGTAATCTCGCTAGTCTGATACAGTAACAAACGTCTACTTGCTTGCAATAACTGTTGTGTTCGGTTATATGTGTGTGTGATAGGATATCACTACATCTGTCTAAAGAATGAACTGAACCAACCACTCATGCTGCCTTCCCTGCTTGTGTACACTGAGGTACAGGACTACATTCCCAACGAGCACCAAGGTAGGCAAGGGATTTCAGGGATATCCAATACCATTTACATAACCTTCCCTCCTCCATCTGGCCTGCAACTGTCAACAAAAAATAACGAGATTCAGGCCCCTAAAACGTATGTTTTTTTAAATCACTATCATCATTGTCCAGTCGCATATCCACTTGTTAAGTTGTGACGTATGGATACTGTTTTTGGGTCCAAGCCGCTACTTATTTGAATTGAAAAAATATTTGTTTATGGTTTTAGTCCCATCACACATTAAAGTGTATTTTACATAAAATCATGTAAATCAACAGTCTTTGGACTTCATCACAAATACCAAAATTGTAACAAATTCTAAAAATGTAATCACTTTTTTGCCATCGGATATTAGGTATGGACATATATAATTGTGACCGTGATTTTTGAAAGTATTACAATGCTTTGTAAACGTTTATTATAACCATTTGATGAGTCTCCCCATACAGTTTGATTGAGTGCTCGGACCCGGAAGCCGCTTTGCATGACGTCACACTTAACAAGCAGATAATTATTTGTGTTTTTTATCCACCTGCAGGACTTTTAAAGTACTGATGAATCAATTTTGTAAGATGAATCAATTATGTCAGGTTTCCACTTTTTTTCATGTGTTTGAATATTAAATCAGCACTCCTATGAATTGTCAGTCGCTGCAATGCTTCTCTTAAGGCTTTCTATTAATAGGTTTTAAATTAAACAAGTTCTGTTGTGAAAATTGTTGAAGTGTAATGTTTTTAAATAAAACACAAAGATGTTGTGTGTATTTATTTTTTACTCATTAATATAAATAACCAGTTTATAAGACTTAATGGAAAATCTGAAGTTGATGAGTTGCAAAAGGTACTATATACTATATAATGCAATATTTGATAGGCTGCAGTGTGTCTTTTATTTCTTTTAAGTATTTGTGTAGAATAGCAGAATTGGGCAATTATAATGGCTCATAGATCATCCAGTGTGGGTTTCAAGCAAACAATTTTTTAGTATCAGGGTTTGATCACCTTTGATGGTTTACTTGTTTCTTCGTCTTTTTTGTGTAGAATATGCAGAGGCTCTAACAAACCCCATCAAGCATCTCTCTCTGCTGGCCCAGAGAGAAAGTCAGCTATTAGCACTTATGGAGGATCCCACTGAGGTGTGTGTCATCTTTTGTTTGTATGTGTGTTTTTATTTGCTGGACATTTATTTCCTTATAACAGAAGTGATTAAGGTGAGGGGTGAGGTTGTCAACTTCTGAATTTACAAACAATTTAAGAAATTCTGCTGCCTATAGTTATGTGAACCATATTATAGTGCCGGGTGATAAACAATTTACTGAAAATCTTCAAGTTCATAATATTTCATTAAGTTTTATAATTCTTTTTATACATTTTCTAATAATCTACCCTTCTCATACCTTTTTTGTACTAGGTGCTTTTTTGTTTGTTTGTTTTGCCGCTATAAAAGGGTCAAGTTCACATTTATTAAATCTACTTCCATTTGATAAATTATTTTCTTATTTCCTGTACTGTCATCTCACCATCTCGTCTTGTTGGTGTTTAGGCTGTTAAGTGAATGCACACTGCATATGTTTGTGTTGTTGCAGGGTGGGCCTACAAAACAGGAGGAAGGAGACGGGACTGACTCTAGCTGCGTGACCTCTGCTGACCCTATCTTCCCTCTGCCCTCATCTCCAACACTTCCTAGTGTACCAACTGACTTGAACCCTCCTCCATCAGGTTTGGACTAACCTTTCTTTTTCTTTGTTTTTTTTACACCTCTGTCATCCTCTTTCACTCTCTCTATCTCTCTTACTGTTTGCATTTGGATCATAATGTTGCAGTCTTGTTAGTTCTGTACTGTTGTCTAATCATGTCTGTGAATGTCATGCCCATTAAGTGACCTGTATGTTCATGTGTAATATATAGGCCAAAAAGAAGATCTAGTCAACAATGTCCTTAAAGGTAAGTCCATTATCATACACTCATATTCATCAGTCACTCCGTTGTGCAATACTGAGAAGTGATTAATAAACACACAACCATGGAACACTTAGGAATAAAAACATGTAATTAATGTGTTTTTTTTTTCAAATGCTTTTTAAATCAGCAGAAACAAAGCCACAGTTCAGGGCTTGGTGATATGGCAAAAAATAAATATTACTATAATTTTTTTCATATCAATCGATATCAATAATTATCACGATAAATGTTGAATTATTATATCTATCAATTTTAAAGGCTTTTCAGCATACCAATCCCTTTGTGCAGCTCATTTAACACATTTTGTGAAATGTTTGAGCTGTATGACGATATAAATTAAAAATAATAAACAAAAGATCAATCTTATTCATTTTTCAGCATCTACTATTCAAGTCTTCAACAACTAAATACAGAAATAATAAGTAAAACAGGTTTGGAACGAGTAAAAGTGAGTTAATGGTCACAGAATTTTCAGTTTTTGGTGAACTCTCCTTTTAATGGTGAAGATGGTGAATTTAGGGTGAGATACCCTTTAATATATTTTATTTAGACAGGTTAAAGATCATTTGATGATCTATTGATAACCGTTTAATCAATAGACCTTATCGATAACAGATTAAACATGGACATTTATAGGTTAAGTTATGCTTTGCGCTGTGAGATGCGTCCGTGCATTACATAATCAAGTGTGTGAACTTTACCTTATGGAGTCACCCTCTTAACATTGCATATTGCGGGATGCATAAAACCCTGTTACATGCAGATCTCGGTTATATCTGTGAGTTTTTCAACCAATTTTATCTGACACCAGTAGGCCAATGCAGACTCTCATTTTAAAAATCACGAATTCAGCAAGACATGCGGGAGCCTCTCCATTCAAACAATGAGTTTCTGAGTTCTCTCATCCTTCAGACCAAGTTTGTACCTCCACCGAAATCTAAGAATACTTTAAGTGCTGCAAATAGTTTGTAAGGAGTGTGCTGGTTAATTTAAACCGCTTGATTGAACTAATTAAATTCAAACTGTGAAAATGTTCAATGGATTGTTTTGGCACCGAAGCATATAAGCTGACTTGTTTTGAAGCGCTTCAACTTAGATGTCATTCATTCTTCATGTTTATGTTGTAGATCACTGACAACAACAAAAAATACATTAAAATTAAGATACAAATTATACCAAACAAAATTTGTTTTAAAAAGAACATTTTTCAAAGAAAAATATATATGATTTTGTTTGTGCCCATCTTGCACAACTGTTGTGTGGGTAGATGATGTTTCGCTCCAGACAACCGAATAGCTAACTATGTAGCTCCAGACTACTGAAGTTAAGTGACGATTCTGTCAGCAGTGTGTGTGACTGTGACCTTATTGTTATTTTTTTCTTACTCCTAGTGCAACTAACACTGAATGGCTGTAAACTTGTACTATGTGCGGCATCTGGAAGTGCAGGCTGCAAAATGCCTGTGCAGCGTTACATACTGTGTGTGTACTATTGAGCACTTTATCAAACTGTCGTTTTTGTTTTATCGAAAAAATGTATATCGAGATAATTATCGTAATTGAATTATTGCCCAGGCCTACTGTGAAGCCATGCAAACATCTGTTAAAGCCCAGAACAATTTTGGGTACCTCGTTACTATGTAACTACGGCTTTGAGTAGGAAACACTTCTCCATCTGAAAGCAGGTGCTGGAATTTAAAATGGCCTTTACTTATTCATGCAGCTATCCAGCTGCAAGTGTATCCAGTGTACATGTAAATGTGAATAGTGTGATAGCTGAGCCTGTTTCTGAAAGCACAGCATGTCAATCAGTGTTGGGTGCCCAAAAAGGCTAACTGTAAACCGTCCTTTACTGTTAATAATTAGTTCATTGTATGCCTCATGTTCTTACGCCCCTCCTAAATGGTTGAAAACCCCTGCTATAGATCATGCACAAACTGTCTGTTGTTGTGTTTTGCAGTAATCGAGCCTGAGTCTGTTGATGAGCTTAAACAACACAATTCCTACCTGAAGCTGCTGAAGAAGCAATGCAAGGAATTTAAGGAGCTGAGCAAGAAACATCTCAAAAAGGTTTGCATGTGCAATGTCACTTATATTATTTGTTATGCATGAAATTTTATGTCATGATAACATTAACCACAGATTTTAGACCCATAGATAGTTATATAAGATTTTTTTGTAAAATTTGAGTTAGCCTACTAGAGAAATTTTATGTTGGAGCGGGATCTGAGCAGTATAGGTCTACTGGTGAGTGTGAGAATAATGTTAACAGAGTGCTTGCTTTTTATGGGCAAAGAGAGTATTTTCTGAGTCTGCTGCATGCATTCATTATTTTATTTTCAGTTTTCAGTAGCAAAGCAAGAATATTGTTACATTATATTTGTTTTTTAAAAAGTTTTAACACTGAGCTAGTCCGTCACATAATAATAACTACTTAACAAAATGTATGTTTATTAAGGTCGGATAACTTGCTGGAGTATTATGGAATTGTAGTTATTGGATAGACATTCTTCATAACCATGTTTTAGAACATTCCAGGGAATCAGTTGCGACATTGCAAACTTGCATTAGAGCCTTGGTCTGACAAGTGGCACAGCAAATATTCTATATATCCATATCTGCTCTTACTTTGACGGAAATATGTATGTTTCAGATGTTGGCCCTCAGTAAGGAACAAAAGACTCTCTTTAATCAGCAGAGCTCGGAACTACAGAGGAAACGCAGTCAGATTGAGAAGCGTATACGCACAAGTCTAAAGAAAAAGTATTTAAATAGTGCTATTATTATTATTAATATTATTCATTTATTTATTATGCTAAATGTGTGTTTGCTTTTTGTGTGTGCTGTTTGCAGTGGATCAGAAGATTCTGTGCATAGGGAATTAAATGAGCTGGATCTGGAACTACAGAAACAAATGGAGCAGTTCAGAGAGGAGCACATGCAAAAGCTTCTTGTACTCAGACAAGGACAGCTTCAGATGGAGAAAGAAGTGAAACAGTTCCACCTCAAAGAGGTATAACACACCCAACAGTGCAAAGTGATTGCAGCTGCTCTGACAGCTTACTGCGAAAAATGCTGATTCTTCATGGCTTTGTGCTTCTGTCTCAGGCCAATCAGAAACTGAAGGATATTGCCATCGAATGCCAAGCAGCCCAGATCAAGAAACTCAAAGATGTGTGTGACAAGTAAGAACGTATTTATTTTATTTATTTTATTTATTTATTTTTCTGTGAGGACAAGTGCCAGAATTTCTTATTTCTGCTTGCAGAGAGAAAAAGGAGTTGCAGAAGATGCTGGATAGAAAGAGGCTAAACAGCATAGTTGAGGCCAGAAAAGCAGAAAAGGAGATGTGAGTTATTGTTTTTTATTTTTTTAAGGCTGTTGCAGTTTAGGGTTAAATTGTTAGTCTACCTAAAATTTTTAACTTAGTCCTCAATTTCCCATCATTTCTACTTTTTTTAGGAATGTAGAAAACATTCTCCTGATTGTATTGAATTTCAACTTATGAACAGAAAACCATCAGACATTTCTGATGGGTGACTTGCTTTCATTTTAAGAGCTAGTTGGATTCAGTTCAGTTGGTTTTTGGGAAACAAACAAGTGCTTTTTCTAGTGAGCATAGTCAATCCAAGAGAGAATAGCAATGCATTTTTAATATCTCAGTCAATGCAGAATCAAATTCTTGAATTCTTGAACTCTTGAATTCTTGTTTTTCACCATAGCTAAAACTACTACTACTACTACTTTTTTAATATGTTCTGTCTTAACCTAGGAATGTTTTGTATTAAAGTGGACTGAACTGAATGAGTATTGAACTCCTTTCTAATTGATTGACTTCACATTTATTGACAACATCTTTTTTTGCTGATGTGTGCAGCTGTTTGAAGCAATCTGCATTGTATAAAGGACTTTAGAAATGCAGTAAATGTGCCTTGACCTCTGTGATACTTTGACATGTCTTTCCATCCAGCTATATTTCACTTTCTTTTAATAATTTTTTTGGTCAAGTAATACTTGACACAGTGATACAGATAAAGAGATACATGAGACCCTTTATAAATGTTTAAGCTATTAAAGGGATAGTTCACCCATTCTGTCATCATTTACTCAGCTTTTACTCGTCTCAGACCTTTATCAGTTTTTTTCTTTTGGTAAACACAAAAGAAGATATTTTCAAAAATGTCGGAAACCTGCAACCATTGCCTGCAACCTGTAATTAATGACTTCCATGGTATGACAAACAAATACTATTGTTTGTCATACCATGGAAGTCATTAATTACAGGTTTTCAGCTTTCTTCAAAATATATTTTGTGTTTAACAGAATAGAAAAATCTCATAAATGTTTGGAACCACTTTAGAAGGGGTAAAAAGTGACAATTTTTACTTTTGGGTGACTTATCCCTTTAATGTCTGGGGTGTTCAGTACTGCTTCTTGACTCATCCCACAGTTATGGTACAATAACCTCCCTCTGTTATTCTCTTACTTAGCAGAGATGTGAACGAGATCAATAGAAAACATATCCAAGAGTCGGTCAGCTTAATCCGTCAGGTCAGTTCTTTTTTCTTTATGTCTAAATTTTGCAACAATCGGATAGTATTGTATTTGCTTGTCTCTTTTCAGATATGTAACATATATAATTATATTTGTTGTATATATGTTATAACTTTTATTAGTACCTTGTCCATATTAAGTGTCAGTCAGGGTTTTTTGCTTTGGATTTTTTTAAAAATGTTTTTAGCATTTTTTTTTTCTTCTTTTTCTGAGATCATAATGGATTCCACTACAGCTAGTGACAACAAAAACATCTTTTGGTAACACTTTATAATAACTGAACACTATGAATCATTAACTAATGCATTATATTAGCATCTAGTGACTTCATTATTTGTTAAGCATCAACTCTGCAGTTTATAACTGCAGCTACAAATGCTGAATTCTTGACTTACAACCACATTTATAATGTGTCTAATACTTGTACTTCATAATTTGTTAATGATTTATTTTTCGTTACTAAATTAAGTATTGCAATATTTATAAACCATTTGTATTCAAGAGTAGTTGATAGTTTTTAAGATCATTCAGAATGAGTTAGTAAAATAAACTATTGAAATCAATGTTTAAATATCTTATTAATCAGGCATATATTAATGGTTACTATGCATGTTAATAAATCGTCACCTTGAAATTATAAAGTTCTATCTGCATTCTTAATGATTTTAAGATTTTGAGCTTCAAAGTTTTTGCATTCCATAGAGCAAACAGTATGTGTGTAGCATTTGTTTTTTTAAACAAAAAGGCTTAAAATGTAAGCTTATAAAAAAAAATCCCATAATGTAAATAAGTTGTCATTTAATAAGAATATGTCAACAACGCAATTTTGAAAAAAAAAAGTCAGATAGAACCTTATAATTCTAAGGTGACGAAATGCTTTATTAACTCATGTTCATGCAGTTTTGTGACCTAATCTAGAGTGACTATTTGTGCTTTATAAAACCCTTATTAATAACAATTAAAATCTCAGCAAATGAACAATATTCTTTGCAATCTTATCTAAAAGGTAAAATTACGGTAAACTTTTAACATTGCTGAATGACAAGAGTGTAAAAATCTAACATATAATTAGATAAAACAACAACATTATAATAATTTAACAATATAATAAGAAGCAATATTTAAACTGAACAGTACATTTATTTTAGATAAGGTTGCAAATATTTATTTTTCATTTGAAGTACAGTTTAATTTATGTATCTTCAAACAAATAGGAATGAATAATGTTGTTTATGTAGATTTGTCCTGTTTAGAATTTAGCTGAGGTTTTAATTGTCATTTATAAGGGATTGATAAAGCATAAATAGTCCTTAACTTTAAATTAGGTCACAAAAATGGATAAAGTTGAGTTAATTAAGCATTTATTAACATACAAATCAATTATTAGTATAAGCCTGAATAATAAGAATTATTCATGTTAATTTTAATAGTTAATAACTCATTTACTAACTCACTAATTCATTCTGAATGATCCTAAAAAACAACCAACTACTATTAAATAACCGTTTTATAAATAATGCAATACTTAATTTAGTAATGAAAAATAAATTATTAAAGTATGAAAGTACAAGTATTAAGCACATTTTGAATGTGTTTGTAAGTCAAAAATAGAGATTTTGTATCTGCAGTTTTAAACTGCTTACTAATGTTTGTTAATGTACAGTTAATGATTACATATGATGAATTCACTATTTGCTAATGCTTAATAAATGGTTCATTGTGTGTAGTTATTATAAAGTGTTACCCATCATTTTTCTTCAACATACAGGGGAAGTCAGAATTATTAGCCCCCTTTTTATTTTTATTTATTTTTATTTTTTTAAATATTTCCCAAATTATGTTTAACAGAGAAAGGAAATTTTCAAAGTATGCTGATAATATTTTTTTTTCTTTTGAAGAAAGTCTTGTGTTTTATTTCCGCTAGAAGTTTTAAATTTTTTAAAAGCCATTTTAAGGTCAAAATTATTAGCCCCTTTAAGCTACATATAAATGTGTTTAAATAATCTACAGAAAAAAAACATTGTTATACAATAACTTGCCTAATTACCCTAACCTGCCTAGTTAACCTAAATTACCCTAGTTAAGCCTTTAAATTGTTCTAAGCTGAATACTAGCATCTTGAAAAATATCTAGTCAAGTATTATGTACTATCATCATGGCAAAGATCAACTAAATCAGTTATTAGAAATGAGTTATTAAAACTATTATGTTTAAAAAAAAACATGTGTTGAAAAAATATTCTCATTGTTAAACAGAAATTGAGGAAAAAAAATAAACGGGGGCTAATAATTCAGGGGGGTGGGGCGCTGTAAATTCTGACTACAACTTTGAGAGGTGATTGTTGTTAAGAGTCATGAACTGTTTTTTCTTTTTTAATACTGATGTTTGAGGTCCACTTGTGATATTTGTGTGTGGTTTTTACATTCAAAAACATCAAAATTAACCCCTTCAGAGCTAAATTGTGTTCCAATTTTCAGAAAAAATGTGAAAGTATGTTTTCAGTTTTTAAGGCTCCTCTAAATGAGACCAAATTATAATAATTAAAAATTCATCCCTTTAAGCATATATATATTTTTCCATTTCAATGGACATTAGGTCAGAACAGTTGTGCTTCCCGAACATTATACCAACATAAAATACAAAAAAAAAAAAACATACATGATTGATGGTATAATCTTGAAATGTATTTTTTTTAAAATCATAAATATTAACATTGTAACATTTTTGTCTCTAATTTTGAGGTTTGTAGGTTTGCCTCATGGCTCCACATAATGTCTACATTTGAGAAATTTCCATCTCATATATGCTTAAGAACTTTGATTTTAAGAACAGAACTCAAGATTTGTATATTCTGCATATAAAATAATTTCAGCAATGAATTGGTACATTGATATACATTTATATATATTAGCATTACTTGACAGATTAACAGATCTTGAACCCATTGTTTATCCTAATGGACAGACATATATTTGAAAACCTCCTGATTTAAAGCTTGCAGTGTTATAAAATATTTTAAACTTAATTATTAAGTGCAATTCCCCTTTTTTTTACATACAATCTATGAATTAATGGCAAATATATCAATAAATCTAAATGAAAGCTTTGTAAATGTGGCTTACGTCTGTGTCTGGAGTGAAGTGATGCCATGCTGATTTCATTGTAGTGGATTTTTTTCAAATTACAACATGTCAAGACTTACCATCATTTGATTGGATAACAATCGTCCAGATGAAATGCTCAGGAACCACAAAAAACATAGGCTGACTTGTGATGTCCATTGTAATGGACATAGGGTTAATAAGTAATAGTCTATTTTCTACTCTGGTTTTGAGGTTTGTCCGAGAGATGCAATGTTTTTAATGGGCAGGCTGAATTGTAGGCTTGGGGAAAAAATACCCACAACATTGATTGGATAACAGTTTTGCTTAGTAAATTAAATTTCACCTGTCAGTACATGTGTGGATAAGTGTTTTGAAAACATCCATTCAGGAGAAATAGTCATTTTCAGTGATTCACTGAACGGACCACACCTCAAATACCAAGCATGCTCCATGAATTGTGTTGATCACTGATTCATCACTATTCATCACATGTAAAAAAAAAACAAAAAAAAAAAAAACCGTTTGCATATTTTACATAATATACACCAGGGGTGCTAAATCCTGTTCCTGGAGATCTACCTTCCTGTACAGTTTAACTCCTACCCTTAGCAAACCGACCTAAACCAATTAATTAGGACCTGAAATCCACTTGATAATTACAGACAGGTGTGTTTAATAAGGGTTGCGACTGAAATCTGCAGGAAGGTAGATCTCCAGGAACAGGATTGGCCACCCCTGATATACACTATATATTGCCAAAAGTTTTAGGTGACCCTACCCTTCCACAGGGGTATAAAATCCAACACTGCTTCTATAACATTAGTGAATGTGTCGCTCTCTGGAGATAGATCAGTCATTAAGGAGTCATTAAGGCTGTAGTATGATAGGTTGCCACCTGTGCTATAAGTTAAATTGTGACATTTCTTCACTGCTAAATATTCAATGGTCAACTGTTTTAAGGGATTAAGCAGTTGGGAACAATGGCATTTATAGTCACGTAAAACCACAAAGCAAGGTCTGTGCATGCTGAGCCACACTGTACACAAAAATACACAACTTTCTGCTGAGTCAGTAGCTACAGACCCAACTTCATGTGGCCTTCAGATTAGTTCAAGAACATGTAGTAGAAAGCTCTCTCTCTCTCTCTCTCTCTCTCTCTCTCTCTCTCTCTCTCTCTCTCTCTCTCTCTCTCTCTCTCTCTCTCTCTCTCTCTCTCTCTCTCTCTCTCTCTCTCTCTCTCTCTCTCTCTCTCTCTCTCTTTCTCTTTCTCTCTGTGTGTGTGTGGGGGTGAGTGGAAGTGTGTTTCCAAGCAAAGGTTATGCAGTGACTGTATTCTTCCACAAATAGGCACAGCACAATATTTTGAATGTTTATTAGGACTGGAAAAATATGTGTTGTTGAGTAGACCAACTATAACAATATGTTTTCTGATAGCACTTTTGTTGGGAAATGTTATGTTTTAAAATCATATTAAAATAAACAAATACAATGTTTTTCAGATTTAAAAATTCAAATTCAAACAAAAAAAACTGATAAGGTGCAAACATTTAGTATTTGATAAACAATGTATCATTAATAAACAGTATCAACGAGTAAAATTTCAGCAGATATTCAGACTCTGATTGGCCGTTGTCATTTTTCTCTCGTTTTGACTCTTGTTGTGATTTATTTTCAGCCCTAGCTTCACCTTTGGGTCAAATTTAGAGAAACAACCAGTGCTTAAAACAAATGTAATTTATCACTTGACAGCAACACGTATATTGCCTACAGTATTATCTAGATAACGATCATTTTAAAATATATTTTTTAGCCCTACTGTTTATGATATAACAATATATATATTGCCTTTAACACACCTCTGTGAGAGGCAGAGAACTTACTTTTTATTATTTTATATTGTTGTGTGAGGTCCACTTACATTTGAAGTCAGAATTATTAGCCCCCTTAAATTTTTTTTATTATTATTTCCTAAATTATTTTTAACAGAGCAAGGAAATTTTCTCAGTATGTCTGCTAATATTTTTTCTTCTGAAAAAATATCTTATTTGCTTATTTTGGCTAGAATAAAAGCAGTTTTTAATAATAATAATAATAAAAAAACATTTTAGGGACAAAATTATTAGCCCCTTTTCAACTAATTTTATTTTTCAACTATCTACAGAACAAACCGTCATTTTACAATAACTTGCCTAATTACCCTAACCTGCCTAGTTCACCTAATTAACCTAGTTAAGCCTTTAAATATCAATTTAAGCTGTACAAAAGTGTCTTGAAAAATATCTAGTAAAATATTATTTACTTTTATTATGTCAAAGATAAAATAAATCAGTTATCAGAAATGAGTTATTAAAACTATTATGTTTAGAAATGTGTTAAAATCTTTTCTCTGTTAATCAGAAATTGGGGAGAAAATTAAGCGAGGTTGAATAATTAAGGGGGACTAATATTCTGACTTAAACTGAATGTGAATGATTTTTACATTCAAAATCATATAAAAAGATGAATATTTCTAATACTACAGTTATAAATCTTCTATTAATAACCTGGTTATGAGGTCATCTCTAAATACACTTATATTATATTATATTATATTATATTATATTATATTATATTATATTATATTATATTATATTATATTATATTATTCATTTTCTTTTCGGCTCAGTCGTTTTATTAATCTGGGGGTGCCACAGCAGAATGAACTGCCAACTTATCCAGCATATGTTTTACGCAGCAGATTCCAGCTGCAACCCAACACTAAGAAACATCCATACACACCATAGACTGTAAAATATATGGACGTAGTATCCGTGACGTCACCCATAGGTTTCTGAGGAGCGCAAAAGAAGCCACAAGTAGGCGCGGCCAACCGTCGCCATTTTGGTCACGCGTCATCACACCCACGGCGGGATACCAAACAAGGGCAAAGAGGCGGAGAGTGAGCGGAGCTACAGACACCTGCTAACATTTAGCTTGGGCCTGGTTCAGACACACTTTACTTTGGGAGAAATGCTTAATACTTTATCACCTGTGACTCGTTTGTATTCTGACCACTTGTGCTTGGTTGTACACTATATCAATAAAGTGTTTAGACTTTTAAAAACACTGCTGTAATACATTGAGCCACTAAACATTGTTCTTATGACGTTTTTCAACAGGAGGAAAACGCAAATTACTTCCAAACACTTCAGATATAGTCTGTGTTAGTTAATGTAAGACTATTGATGAAATCCAGCATGACACTGTATGACAACGCTTCAAATGACTGTTCTAGAGCCTACAGCTAATCAATCTGACAGATTCTGGAGTGCATTACAGCTCTAAATATAAATATAAACGATAAATTATCTTAAATAAAACAAATACATGTATAGAGATGGTATATAAGTATACAACTTTACTCACATGGGAAACGGAGGCCACGTGAATGGTTTGTGAGCACAATTAAGTTTACTCAGCATGCCATGCCATCTAATAATTGTAGGAAACAAGTCCAAAAGGCAGTTGAGTGTGTAAAGCCACATAAAACAACACAGAAATACGATAAATATGCCGAGTTCAGTGGCTAAACTGCAGGATTCAGCCGAGGTGACGTGACGGCGACCAACGAGACCTAGCTGTCACTCAAGTGGCCACGCCCTTAATTATGCAAACTTAATATAACTTAATATAAAGGAAACGGATGAGTTATAAAAAAAATTCACCCCCCTCACAGTTGTCATGAAGGGTAATATTACCTTTATTAACCAAAATCGTTTTTTGTACCAGACTGTAAACATCTTTTTTTCTGCTGTAAAGTTGGCCATTCTAACAGTGGGCTCAATTGAAATTTGCTCTGTTTTGGAGCCAGGAGTGGCCACGACTAGCGGAATTTCGGATGAATTGCAGTTTTAGTTACTTCCATATTGGCTTCCTGAGGGAGAGCGGGAGGTTGCCGCTTGATACACACTCATTTACACACGTACACTACGGCCAATTTAGTTTACTCAATTCACCTATACCACATGTCTTTAGATTATATTATATTATATTATATTATATTATATTATATTATATTATATTATATTATATTATATTATATTATATTATATTATATTAATGATCAAATTGGAGTTGGCAAGAAGGCATTGGATGTTTCTAGTTGTGTTTTAATATTGGGTCGTACTTACAGTAGATTCTGACTGGTCCCACAAAGGTGTCTCTGGTCTCTCAAAGGTGAAACTGACTATTTCTTGTGGGTTTTTTTTTTGTTTTTTTGTTATTGTTGTCTACTTTACCTTGTTGTTGTGTAACATTCCTTACTAGAACAAAGTATTACAAAGCCATAACAGACAATCTTGAGAACAAACTATCAAAGTGATTGAATTTTTCTCAGGAAGTCTCTTAATTAACTTTCTGTCTTTGCGTAGCTGGAAGTATCTCAGGGGAAGCGTCAGGAGAAGTTGAAAGCCCTTCATAAGGACATCCTTCAGAAAATCGAGGAGGAAATTCCTATGGTCAGTACATGCATGCACATATCTATTCAGCCATCAATCCTGACAGAACAGTCTCTTCTTGACCACAATATTTTCTTTCACTGATCAAATTGTTCTCCCTGAAAGCAACCATTAATAACTTAAATGTGCATCTTGATCTACTGCTTGATATTTCAAACTGGTATTTGTTATTGTATTAATGTACTGCAACGTGTAAATTAGAATATATCTTTGATGCTAATCGCACAACAAAAGAAAAGAAAAAAGAAAATCACTAACGATTCAGTTCTTAAATGTGTCACTTTCGCAGCTTTTTCATGGATCAATATTCAATATAATGATCTTTTTACATTTGTTTAGTTAGTCTTGGTATGTCTGTTTGTTAATTTGTTCTGTGAAATTTCATTCACATCTAAAATGTTGATGACATAACAGCTGTGTTTCCATTAATCTAACACTTACTCTTATTAGTTCGGCTCATATAGTCCATTCCTAGTTTGAAGCTGCCATAATATTGCTTGTTAGCTTGGTTACTTTTTCCTCCTTTAAGTTTTGAATGTTGTCTCTGTAGAATCAGGCCCGTTTGACCCGTGACTTCGAGGCAGAGCTAAAGCGTTTGCCAGAGGAGATTTCTCAATATCTGCAGGAGCTTGAGAGCAAAGGCTCTCGGAAAGACAGCTTGATGGGTCAGACCAATGACGGCCCAAACTCTGGCCCCCCATCCAACTGCAGCACACCACCTTACTCCTCCCCCAACCACAGCTGGAGCAACATAGCCAATGTTTCATCCTTACTGCTGGACTCCTCCACCTCAAGCTCTTCAGCCAAGTCCGAGACAGACACTACAGGAGTCTACTAATGATACTACACTCCTTTTGCTTGTTTTCTCCATCAGTCTCTTCAAATCGATTTCTATTCTCTGTGGATTGTAAGAATAGGTATAGTATTACTAGAAGTTGTACGTATTTTTTGAGAATTTTTATTTGGTTCTTGTTTTTTCTAAACCTGCATACACTTTGCTACGGTGTGTGCCTGAATCAAAACTGGCACCTTTTTACTTTCCTGTTTTAATCCTGAAACACAAGTGGATTTTATCTAGCTTTAATGATACGAGCTCTTGTACATACTTACTCATGTGTGTAAGACTTCTGTGGAAACCAGAGGGACGAGGTTCTGTATTTATTTCTGTTGTATATTGTGTCATTTGCAGCTTTACATGTATTGCCTCGAGATGTCCTGAAGGGGGCAGTGTAAATTGGCAGTAATGATATCTGAGGCACTAGTGCTAGGCTAACGCTTAATCCGAATGGTACGTGTTTACATAATGCACAGATGGACTATTGCTTACCCATAGCTAAACAACACTTTATTTCATTTTTTCTTGGGAATGTTTATTGGGTATGGAGTATGGTGTAAAGAAAATGTGGACGATTTCTTATCATTAGGGTGCATCAGTTTGTCATTGGGGTGGTACCTTTGAACAAGGGACAACTGAAGCGGGTACTTTACCAGGGGAAGACTGTTGGATCCCTAAAGGTACTTTTACACATTTTTAGTGTACATTTTGTTGTGTTTGTGTGTCCTATGACACTTTAAGTGCCTCACATCTCTCTCACCGACATCATTCTTTTTTAAAAATCCTGTAATCCCTCTCCCTCCCTCTCTCTCTCTCCCCTGTATCTCCCCCATATCTGTTCCTCAATCGGTTGGCTTAATCTACTCTAATCCCAGTTCTCTGTAATTGGCGGTGAGCCCACATGTCACACTGAAATCCAGTGATGTCCAGGAAACTTCAAGCGCCTTTTATTTTTGGCCAAACCCTGTTGAATCCGCTCACAGCCTGAGTGCAGTTTCATGTCAAATCCCATCTGCAGCAGTCAAATCCTCCACTTGACTTCATCGAGATCTTTTCAGAGTCATGACACATTGCATCATTTCAAAAGCCAGCATATGAGCATGCAATTTGTTTGTCAGTGTGAGATTGAAGCAAGACTTTTGCAGCTTAGCTCTGATCACCGCAATCCAGGGCTTTTTTTTTAATCTGTTAGAATGCATGATGTTGGATTTTGCTTTCTCTTACTGTAATCTGCTGATCTGTTCCCCCATCACTTCCTGTTTACTTTCTCACATTTGCTCAGTTTTTAAGTTTTATGTCCGTTTGTGTCTTTTCCCTTCCCATCCCCCCCCCCCCCCCCCCCCACTCTGTAAGTGTCTCTCAGAGCTCCATGGTTTGAAATGAAGGCAGTTGGATTTGTATTGTGCATTCAGTGTGAGCATCTAGCATGCAGCAGTCCCACTATAATACCAGAGCAGCAGATGGGCATTGTGCTTTATGATCTTTATCAAAGCACAATTATTACAGCACTTATGACTATTAAACAATTACATTTGCTGATTGAGTAACTTAATACGCAACAAGGGCAAGATGTGGATAGAAAGGTTTCCCTGTAAAAAAAAGTGTGCGCACACTGGTTTGATGGTTTACAAGGACAGAAATTTGTATTATGACCTATACCTGGGACTATATTGAGGTGGTTTATGAAGACATGATGTGTTCTTGTAATTCAAAATTCTTAAAATATCATACACAACAGGTTTTTTTTGACATTCAAAGTTTCAAACGTCTTCCTTTGCGGGTTGGTTTTAGGAGTAGGGACACACAATAAGCAGTTTCCTACACCATAAAATCCATTACAACTATGGAGAGTCCTTGAAAACCACTGATACCAACATGCGTGTGTGTGAGAGATGTAAGTGCTGAATGTGAGAATGAAAACCTGATTATAGATTTTAGAAGGCAAGAAAAGGGCTGATGTGAGATGGACATCACCATCTTTCACTTTTCAAAACAAGCATTTAGGGTTCGCATGTTAAGTCAATAGCTTTTATATACTCATGTGAACCGGGATTAATGGTACTTGCATGTAAACATTTTTACTGTCTCATGTCTCATTATCTTTAGTGAGGAGCATTAGCGATGTACATACTACCAGGAAATAATAATGCACGTATGTCAGTGAAACGTTTATATATCGATCTTCATCAAGTTCATTCCATTTTAAAGGTAAATGAAATTACTACTGACTAAAGGAGGAATTGAGGGTGACTTCTGTCTTTTTTATATTGGTCTAGTGGTTAAACTGCGCGCACACTCTCATTCTAAACAACATGTATCTGTCTTCATCTGCCTGTTTGAATTTGTGCGTGCGTGCGTGCGTGTGTGTGTGTGAGAAAATGAGGTACAAGTATTTTATTTTTATTTTTAAAAATATTGAGAAGCAGATTTTATGGGTTGTATTGCTCTTTCAGACACTTTATAAATGTCATGTTATTTACAGTAGCATGATTCTGTATTGTGCCTGTGTAAACCACATTATCACTTTCTATAAAGTTTCAAAAACAACTATTATTTTTTTTGGAAATCTAGTGATTTAGATAACCACTTTTTAGTGTCTTAAATTGGGACAAAATTCAGGTCGTTTTTTTTTTTTTTTTTTTTTTTTTTTTGATAATTGTTGGTACATTTTTTTTTTTTTCAAAAGTAGACATTAGCATGATATTTTAATTGTGTAATCAGTCATCCTCAGGGTAGGAGGATGGGCCCAAATGGGCCCAGAATAAGAGATATTTTGTGATGCTGGTGTGTGTTGTGAAGTCTATGAGGACTGCAGAGAGACTTTAAGGGACAAAACATGCTTACCCAAGGGCTAACTTCTGCTCAGCCTCAGTTACAGCTTTAACCAAGTACATATCTCATTCTCTCCCTGTGTTTGTCTTTTTATCATTCTTCTATAACACTTTTTTTTGGTAACACTGTATGTAGATAATACTGGTCTGCCATGTATAAAGGGAAGATTATTACTCTGGATGTAATTTTATTGTCTCGATAAATAATATAACTGTACATTAAATACAGAACATTGCGTAAAATGGCTTGCTTGTGCTTCTCTTTTTCAGTTCTCTTTTTATAGAAGTATTCAGATTGTGAAATGTTTTTTTTTTCTTTGTAAAAGGACCATTTATATGACACGATGAAGGTGTGTAAAACATCCTTAAGTATGCTAAATGAATCCATTCCAAAAACAGAAAAAAAATCATTAATATAAAAAGTTTTATAGGGTGTCATGGTGGTGCAGTGGGTGGCACGATCACCTCACAGCAAAAAAGTTGCTGGTTCAAGCCTTGGCTGGGTCAGTTTTCATTTTTGTGTGGTGTTTGTGTGTTCTCCCTGTGTTTGGCGTGGGTTTCCTTCAAGTCCTCCGGTTTCCCTCACAGTCCAAACACATGCGCTATATGTGAATTGGGTAAGCTAAATTGACCGTTGTGTGTGTGAATGAGAGTGTATGGATGTTTCCCAATGATGGATTGCTGCGTAAAACATATGCTGGATTAGTTGGCAGTTCATTTCACTGTGGTGACCCCAAGTTAATAAAGGGACTAAGCCGAAAATAAAATAAATGAATTGTTTCATTTTAAACTCATTTCAAACTTTTTTTTTATTGTTTAGTTTTAGTCATTTTATTGTTTAATAAATTTTTTAAAGTGACATTTCTTTTAAAAACTTAAAAAATTAAGTTGAACATTACTAAATTTAATTTGTTTAAATTCAACCAATTTAAATAGTTTGCAACAATTTTGCAGACATAATTTTTTTTCAATGTAGTTGCAATGCAATGCAACAAAATTGTGCAATAGGAACCATCAAACTGAAGTCTTGCTTAATTTTGAATGCATTGCATGCAGAATGCATCTTAATGGTTTGATAATTATAAATATATCATATGCCATTGCTGTAAAATAATTACTTTTAAATAGATACTTTAATTGTCTTTTTATTAAAGAGTTTATAGTTATTTTGAAAGCATCATAGGTGATACATGATTTTCAAAGTTACCTTTGTGCCACTTTTGACTAGTTTCTGCAGTTTTACCAGTTAGAGATGCGAGAGGGGATTTGCCTACTTTTTAAGCTGTTTAAAAAAAAATACAATAACTGTGAGACTTATGAAAGCACTTGAGAGCTCAATGCCATTCCTAAGACCTTTCAACATCCAAGTACACAAGCCTCTTGTCTTCTTTATTTGAAGATAGCGACATTAAAAAAGCATGTTTTCTGTTCTATACAGCAGGGATTGCTTGAAGCTTGTTTTTTTTTTTTTTTTTTTTTTTTTTTGCAGTGATGTTGCAAACATTCTGGTTGGAGTTGTTTCTGATTTCATTTTTGCATCAAAAAAGTGAAGTGACTGAAGCACAATCCTTCACAGTTTTGTTAAATATTATGATATTATTAATTTGGGTTCATTGCACTTAATGTCATAAGGGTTATTAATAGTATGAAAATAATGTAAGTGTACACAAATCTGGCATTGAGCGTTTATAATAATAATTGTTAAAAGGGGATTTGGGTAAAATAAGAAAGTATTGCAACATGTGGACAAGCCAACACAGTGTCTACTATTAATTTCAATTAGCAGTGGAATAGAATCAGTGGAAAAACTTCAGCATCAGTACTCATTAAAAATTAAATGTTTAGCCTAACATTTGTCAGGCAAATTGAATTAAAAATATCATTTCAAAATGTCTTTTAACAAAAGTGGCTGCAATAAATTCCACAAAAAAATAAATAAAAAAAAAACCTTGCGAAAATCCTGATAATCATTTACTCCAGAATGATTTGAGATGGTGTTAAATTCCTCACATGCTTCAATGCATAAATATCTGACTGTACAAAGTACAGAGTGGAATTATTTATATGACAACACGTAATTCATCTTTAGATTTCAAATCCCAGATGTTGTCAAGACATTTGAGACCCAATGTATGCAACAAAGTAGAAACAATCCAATTCATATCTGTTGCATACAAACTTCACATTCGAGTCCACTTACTGCCTCTCAATGGCCTTGGTGGCCAGTCAGTCTTTTATTAGATTTCTATGTAATTTCCCATCCATTCATTTTTCTTTTCTGAACCCTTTTCATCCCTTCCTTATCTCCTACGGTTTTATTTCCAGCACAAAGCTAGTCTCCTCTCTCCTTTTTCTGTTTTGTTCCCCAGTGAGCATCTGCTTCCGCTTCATTCTCTCTGCTCTCGTTCTGTCTTTTCTTTCTTTTTACTGGACAGCTCCATGAGAGCGAGTCAAAGAAGTGAGCTGGCACCTGAAAGCCATACCTGATGTCCATCAGTTCCGTTTACAGAAGATCTACATGCCCACATTGAGTCAGATCAGATCTCAAAATCAAATAATAAATTAAGCTATATACACTTGAAGTGAGGCACAAATAACAAACATTAAGCTCCATACGGAGCTAGCCATACGCCCAGAACTTAAAAAAAATAAAATTAAATAAACATTTCCATTTTCTTTTTTTAATGTACTAGATGTCTTTTTCCAGACCGACTTACAAGCTAAGATAAAAGAAGCATTTTGCATTAACTAGTAATTTGAGTAGCAGTATATACATGCTTTAAGACATGCTTTGAGTTATTAAATATACAACTCAGTGCATTTAGGCATGTAGACATGGTCAAGACGATCTGCTACAGTTCAAAGTGAGCATCAGAATGAGGAAGAAAGGGGATTTAAGTAAACGTTGCATGGTTGTTGGTTCCAGACAGGCTGGTCTGAGTATTTCAGAAACTGCTGATCTACTAGGATTTTCATGAACAGATATCTCTAGGGTATGCAGAGAATGATCAGAGAAAGAGAAAATATCCAGTGAGTAGCAGTTCTGTGGGCGCAAATGCCGTGTTGATATCAGAGGAGAATGGCCAGACTGGTTCCAGCTGATAGAAAGGCAACAGTAACTCAAATAACCACTCGTTACAACCAAGGTCTGCAGAACAGCATCTCTGAACACACAACACATTTAACCTTGAGGCAGATGAGCCACAGCAGCAGAAGACCACACTGGGTAACAGAAATCTGAGGCTACAACACTAGACACTAGAAGATTGAAAAAACATTGTCTGGTCTGATGTGTCTGGACATTTTTGAACTGGCCTCCACAGTCACGAGATCCTCAATCCAGTAGAGCACCTTAGGGATGTGGTGAAACGTTCGAGGTTACAGAAGTAACCCTTCGTTCCCCGAGGAGGGGAACGGAAGTGCCATGAATGTGAGGATTCGGATCAGAAGCCGCTTGTCTGGAGAGTATTGAACGGGCCAATGAATGAAATTAATTGGCAGCGTAAGCTTGCGCAGGTGTGCGGCATAGGCAATTAGCCCAGCATATAAGCGCACCTGAAGCCAGCAGACGCTATCCTTTTAAGCTGAAGATCCTTTCAAACAGCTAAGGGACAGTCATTATGGCGACGGAGTATGGCACTTCCGTTCCCCTCCTCGGGGAACGAAGGGTTACTTCTGTAACCTCGAACGTTCCCCTTCGGTTGGGGAACTTCAGTGCCATGAATGGGAGAAGTATGGAAAGCGCCATAATGACTGCACCTTACCAACACCCCCGATGAGGAGATAGTCAAGCAAGCGTGACGCACCCACATCATGGGGGGCGCGGTCCTCCAACGTGTCCCTGGCCCTAATTTATCCTACTTCAACAGAAGTTTTACGGATTTAGATATATTTTTTGGGAAGTCGTGAGCATCTTGATAATTCTAGGAAATACGACAGTACGTTGGGAAGCGTGCAATCCCGATAGGGAGGACGCTGCGGAGGCCATCCGTTACCCAAGGGGGGATAGATGGCAGAATTTACATATGGACTAGCCCTAAAAAGGGGGAGTACGCATAGCAAAAGAGTGGTTAGCGGAGAGGGAAGACACGGGTCCGCCCAGGGGGGGGACTTAACCGTGGCGGAATAAGCATATGGGATCGCCTAGTGGGGATCACGCATAGCAGGCACCTATACCCAAAACGCGGGCTGACCAGCGGGCAGACCTACAACGTAGTGGGCCAGCAAGTGACTCCTCTGCTGAGTCAGTGCTGGGGGCCATGGAGGAATCTGCAGGGCTCACCTGACGGGGAACTTTACTGACAGATAAAAAGGCGCACGTACCTCCGTGTTTGGGAGAATGGCGCAGCAAGCGTGTTTCAACACCCTACCGAGTTGTCTCCTCAATCACCAAGGGGTTACCTAATACCCTTGAGGAAACCGGCTCCACTCGCAGATTGTAAAACCTTGCAAATGTGTTGGGTGTCGCCCAGCCCGCAGCTCTACAGATGTCTGTTAGAGAGGCGCAGCGTGCACGCGCCCAAGAGGATGCAACGCTCCGAGTGGAGTGTGCACGTACTCCCGGGGGACACGGCTGACCTCGACTCGAATAAGCGAGTGAAATGGCATCCACAATCCAGTGGGATAATCTTTGTTTCGATACGGCACTTCCCTGCTGCCGATCGCCATAACAGACAAAGAGCTGCTCAGATGATCTAAAATTCTGAGTACGGTCCACATAAATGCGCAGAGCGCGAACTGGACAAAGTAAGAAAGTGCTGGGTCTGCCTCCTCCGGGGGCAGCGCTTGCAGGTTCACTACCTGATCTCTAAAGGGGGTGGTAGGAACCTCAGGTCTCAGGATGACGTGAGAGTAATCCGGCCCGAATTCCAGGCACGAGTCACTGACCGAAAATGCCTCCAGGTCCCCGACCCTCTTGATGGAGGCCAACGCAACCAGCAGAGCTGTCTTCAGGGACAGAAATCTTAGAGATACTGATTCGAGTGGCTCAAAGGGACCGGATCGCAGACTCGTGAGAACGAGGGCGAGATCCCAAGAGGGCATGAGAGGGGGGCGAGATTGATTAATTCACCTAGCACCCCTAAGGAACTGGATGACCAGGTTATGCTTTCCCACGGTGCCGCCAGCTACCGCGCTATGATAAGCGGAGATGGCGGCCACGTAAGTGGAGGGCGACAGCCTGCTGTCCAACTTCTCTTGAAGGAAAGAGAGCACAACACTAATCTGGCAATTTCGGGGGTCTTCT